CCGTTAGGTTCCAAAAACCCCACATTTCACTATACGATTGTTGTTAAACAGATCACGAGATCGAACCCTGCTAGATAGATACAAAAAACTTGAAAAAAGCCATTTCAATTTGCAGACCAACAAGATGAAGCTGCTTTTACGCTCAGGCCTGGCCGGCTTCTCGTCTTTTTTTGTTGGTGTCATCCTCGGGCAGAGACCATGATAATCTTCGCTGTATCGTTCCAATTTTAAAAGATGTCTATCTTTTCGCCTGCAAACTGAAATGGTTCTTTCTTTTTTTTTTTCGGGGGGGGAGGGGGAGGGGGAAGGGGAAGGGGAATAAGTATCCTTCGCCCGCAAACTGTAGGTAATTGAAATATCATATTTAACACGTAACAAAGCACGAGCCTGGCCAGCTCCAGGACCAGGTTCATGCTTTCCAAGGACGTACATACCATCCCTCGGGCCTAGCCCCAAGATTCGCATGATCATCAGTTTCCTGAACCGCAACCTTTTCTTTTCTTTCCTTTTTTGGGGTGTGGCGGAGCGGGTCACTGCTCTTCCTTTTTCTTTCTTTCTACCCCTTCTTTCTAACTAACGGGGATGTACTTCTTCAACTTCATGACATTATTGTCTTCGTCAAGATTCGAACTCATGATCGGTCTGTTCACCAACAGACAGATCGAACGCAAACCATGGCCACTGTTTTCGTTTTGTTTTGTTTTTTTCCCTTTCTTTTTTTCGAACTCAAGAAGGAACGTACTGTGTGTTCCTTCGGGAGATCCGTTCAAATTGGAACGATACAGAGAAAGAAGATTAATTACCAAAATGGCCCCTGCGCTTTTCAAGGATGACACATACAAATAGAGAAATGGTCCACATTTTCAGGGGGGGGCGGGGGGGGGGGGGGGAAGACTAGGAACTTACCAGCAGAATGACTGACACCTCAAGATGAAGTGTCAATGGAACTGCTGCTGCATAGAGTGGCATGCACCGTCCACGTGTCACGGCGAACTGAGTCGAAGACTTTATTTATTTATTAATTGAAATTGGTCCAGCTTGGAGTTCACCTTGGCATAGGTGTAGGTTGACCCCTCCACTCCACACAGTCAGCAGTAAGATTGATTGCGATTCGGCAGTATCGATCTCCAGACGATGGGGCCGATCTCCTGAAATGTGGCACAAAGCAAAAGACTGATGACTGTAATTAGCAAATGCACTAGAGTAATTGATTAGCAAATGCCGCATGCAAACGAGGGACATAAGAGAGATGAGAGTTATATAAGAGAAAGGATGAGAGAGAGGAAATCACAGTTGGGACAGATAACCACATAGGGATTTTTGCAATCGATTCCTTGCATCGATCGGTAAATACATTCGTGCCAATCAACATCAATTCAATCAAATATTCAATCAAGTCAATCAATTCAATCAATCAAAGAAACGGCTCTGCAGCACATGACAGGGGATTATGATTTCAATGATTATGATTACGATTATGATGCCGAAAGTGAGGAAAGCCCGATGGGGGTATGAAGGGGGAATGAATCTCTCTCTACCAATTCAGATCAATTCGATCCAACGGTAGAATGTTGGATCTCTCTCTACCGTTGGATCGAATTGATCTCGCCAAATTGCAGACAATATTGATAGATGAAAACAAGTGAACCCACTGCGGCTACTCTCGCACACATACAAATGTCAATGAGATATTCGGGGGCTACGTAAGTATCCATCTACAAATCTCTCTCTCTCTCTCTCTCTCTCTCTCTCTCTCTCTCTCTCTCTCTCTCTCTCTCTCTCTCTCTCTCTCTCTCTCTCTTTTCTCGATGTTTGACGGTTTTATTGCATGTACCGTATTCTACTAAAATGACCAGCTGACGAGACTGAATCTCTCCCTCGGGTCTTCGAGATCCAAATATAAAGAGAGAAGGCGAGCGAGAAACACCCCTTGCTAAAAAAAGAAAAAAAAAAAAAAAAAACACCCCTTGTTCTCTCTGCACATGGAGAGAGAGACAGAGACATGCAATGAGAGAGAGAAAGAGGAAAGGGAGAATACTGCGGGAGCAATATTTTGAACGACGTCTATTGCGTGGAACAGAGCCCGAGTAAGATGATGAAATGTGATAAAAATCGGATGATGTGTGTAGCATGTCGATGGATTAACTGAATTAATATTCGATGATGCCCGTGAGTACATACAAACAGTCCATTCATTAACATTATTTAGATGAAACCGACGACCGGTCGTTGTTAACCGATGAAACCGATGACCGCTCGTTGTTAACCGATGAAACCGATGACCTCTCGACGTTAACCGTCGTTAACTGCTGTTAACCATTTAAGCCGATGACCAGTCGCTGTTAACCGATGTTAACCGATATTAATTAACAATCCAATCACCGTTGATACCGATGACCGCTCGTTGTTAACCGCTGATAACCGAGATTAATTACTTAGTAATAATCCATTCACCGACTTTAATAAGCGCATTCATTAAGGTCGTTCAGATGTGATCATCAATACTACATTTGATTTTTACGCAGAGCTGATGAGCATTAGGTGTTGGCGTCACCAACGCCACGCGCGAGATACGAAAGAGGAGAGATGCAAGCAATCGGTCACCAACGGCAAGGCGTTGGTGACGCCAACACCTAATAAGGAGAAAAGAGTAGAATGGAGATTTTAAAAAAATGAAAAAAGGAAATGATAGCAATAGAGTGCGCCGGGAGGAGACGCAAAGAGACGACAGCATAGCAGCACAACCAAAAAAAAGAAAAAAAAAAGGCACGGGATAGAGCAGCAGCTCCCACAGGGTGTAGTGATATCACACAGTCAAGATTACGTCATCTTTTTTTTCTTTTCTTTTCTCTTATTATTAACACTTCAAATCATCTTCGGCGGGACTCGTAGTGATGATGGGCGCGCCGCCTTGAAGAGAAGGCAGTGGCCAGAAGATTACTATCCCACTGGCATCTCTCTCTCTCTCTCTCTCTCTCTCTCTCTCTCTCTCTCTCTCTCTCTCTCTCTCTCTCTCTCTCTC